GCTGTCAGCGCTCATAAGCCGCTGCAGTGGAGCATGGCAACTTCAACGGGTCGACAGGGGGAATGAAGGAGGAGGAGGAGGAGGAGGAGGAGGAGGAGGTGGTGGTTGAGAGAATAGCCGAGCAGTTTACAGCCGAGGTCGACCTGTGGCACCTGGCGCCGAGCAGCGGGCAGAGCCAGAGCTCGCTGTTGTCCGGTGGAAAAAAGGTATAAAGAAAATCGATAGCTGGAGAGCAGGAGGAAGTGGTGAGCAGTAAATCACACGACATGACAGGAGAGGAGGCCAAGGTCTGTGTCAGCTGCAGGAGCAGAGAGGAGCAGAGAGAGGAGCAGAGAACCGCCACAACAGAACCTGCTCTCGAACCCACAACCATCTGTGGACCTCATGGTTTTAGGTAAGAGATGGACAGACGAGCTCGTTCTCTAAAAAGGATTCCATTCTCCTAGTGTGCAATCTGTCCTCTGAAATGTCAAAATACCAACACACACACACACACGCGCACACACACACACACACACACATGCAGCCAGTGTACTGAAAAGACTGAAAGCTTGGTCTGGTCCTTCATCTTTCATTCATGAGATCTCTGCTTTTAAACCCACACCACGTGCCTCCTAAAAGCAAATGCCGCACAGACACCAGCTAACAAAATATAAGGTTTCAGTCCGAGCCTGAGGCTAAACGACTACACACACACACACACACACACACACACACGCCGTGACAAATGTACAATGAGACGGTGACAGTCTCAGCCAATCATTGAAGACCTAACAGTGAAGTAACACAGTAATTCAATTTATGATTCTGGTTCAACTCAACTCAACGCTGTCCCTGTAAAATATATTTTGAGATACATTTTTTCTGACTTTTTTTTTTAGGTTAATTTTATCAGAATCTCTAGCCTTCATTTGACTAACTTTTAGCTGATCTTTTAGAAACGATATGTGATTATATTTTTATATTGTCTGCATCACAGAAAACGCTGTCCAATGATGTAACTTCCACTAATTATAACAATTAACATTCTTCAAACCATGAAAAAGAAAATCAGCTAAATTTCATTATTTCCCTGGTTTTCTTTAGATATTTCTGTTGTCTTTTAGCCTCAGTTCCACATCCTTAATGTTCATTAAAACTAGAAGAGTCTCAACAGGAAGTCAACTATTTAGACTTTGAACTGTTGAACTGCCTGCCTTTAACCTGAGTTTAGCTAGTTCTCCTTTTTCCCCTGCAGGGGGTGCTACGGATGCACTCAGAGTTGTTGTTCAACTGTTTTGTTTTTTTACACAAATCTATTTCTGTCGTTGGACAAATGTTTTTTCCATAAGTATAAATAATTGGATTTCTGGAAAAATCCAATGTCCCCGGGGTTGGACAGACTTGTCCCAGCTGTCAATCACAGTCGTCTACGTCGATGACACTGTGATTCTTCATCCAAACGCAGCACGAACTCAGTGGTTCTGTGGCGCGGTGCAGCGAAAACAACGGCTAAATTTACTTTATGTTGAAATTCTAAATTATTAAATGTATATATTTTTTATATTATATTATATTTTAAACTCAGTGGTTCTGTGCAGCGGTGCAGCGGAAACAACGGCTAAATTTACCTTATGTTGAAATTCTTAATTATTAAATTCATATATTTTTTATATTATATTATATTTTGTCAGATATATTTCTTTCTCCAACATTTTCTAAACCATGACATAAAATAGTCTGACCAGATTAGATCTGTAATCCTAATAATTTAGTTTATCTGTTAGCAAAAGTGTAAACATCTGTGCTGAAAACAAACACATGTCCTCAAAGAAAGAAAACCTTTACGGCAGAAATAATATAATGTAAATATATATTTTAAATTTAAAAAAAATTCTGAATATTCTACAGGATGGTGTTGTTTGTAAACGGCGTCACGGCTGCGTCCTGGTCTGGTTCCTGACAGGCCAGTTATTAGACACACAGAGAGGCTTCACTGATCCAAGGTCTGTCGGCGTCTGTGGTTCATCCTGTCCAATGAGACGTGTAATGTCAAAGCGTTTGACATTTTAAAAGTTGGGCCTCTCAGGCTCTGTCCATCAATAATCCTGCCCTGAGGGCGTGTAGGACAAGCGATGCAGCTCGTGGAGTTTACTGGCTCCTGAATTTTAAATCACAGGAAGAACTGAAGATAAAAAAATAAATAATTAAATAAATATAAATAAAAATCATAATCAAAAATTAGCGTTAGAGTTGCTGGCACTGGATGAAATTTCCATGTTTGGTCTACACACGCACAGAGCTCAGGGTGCGTCCGCTGCTGCTTTCAGCACCACGGACAGCTCCAAGATCTTTCTAACGACAGAAAAAGCAGCATTTTTACTCTTTTAAAAAGTCTCTAAATCTTTGAAAACACACCTTAATGAAGGACGTTTTGAAGGCAACAGTAAACAGAGCGTCCTCCGAACGACTCTGTACAACAACACGCTCTGCTCTGAAAACCCCTGGCTGACCTTAAATGTGCAACAGGAACAGACTCGTTTGGATAATGTCCTCGCTTCCACCTAAAAATTCCCGTCATAAGAGAGGAACACCTGAACCAGCCGGGTTCCTCTGGTCCTACCTGAGGTGGATCGGCGGAGAGGGAAAGTCATGCTGCGCCCGTGGAGCTCCAGAGCCTTGTGCTCATGGCCTTTTCGCACTTCCTCCTCTCTGTGAGCGCTGCCCGACGAAAAGAGGAGGAATTACCGAAGTTCAGACCGGCCAATTCTCCACGGCATTGGATCCATTAAGGCCGCGCACATGGCGTTGACGGGAGATCATTACAGAACATTAGAGGCCATTAAGCCT